GGGTGGGGACGCGGCCCTGCGCCACCTGCTGAAGCTGCACCGCACTGAGATCGCGGTGGCGGTGGACAGCGCATTCCCGCTGCTGCACTCGCTGGCTGACCACGACGTCATCCCTGAGGACAAGTTCCAGGTGGACCCTGACCCTGACCCCGCACGCGCTAGGGGAGGGAGCCAGGGCTGCTTCCCTGTGGACCCCTGACCCTGCTTCTCCTGGCCCTCGCCTTCCCCGGCCACCCCAACCTCTTCACAGGCCAGCCCCGATGCTCCCAGGCCCAATCCGAGCCAGGGAGGGGCACTTCCAGGCCAGGCCCGGCTGCTGTCCCGCCTGAGGGGGCAGCAGGAAGCGGGTTCCAGGCAGGGCCTCCACACACTTGTTGCCCCAGGAGACGATGCGGCTGAAGGAGAAGGAGGGCTGTCCCCAGGCCTTCCACACCCTGCTGTCCTGGCTGCTGACCCAGGACTCTGCGGCCATCGTGGACTTCTGGAGGGTCCTCTTCAAGGACTACAACCTGGAGCACTACAGCGGGCTGCGGCCCATCCTGGATGGCTTCCCCAAAGGTGAGCAGAGTGGGAGGTGCTTGGGGAGACCTCGAGAGACTTCCCAGGACTGCTGGGCTCTGAGGGGCAGACACAGAGGCCTCACCCGCCTGACCCCAAGGGTGTCACGTTCTGGCCCACCCGCATCACCCCTATGCCCTGCAGAAGTGGACCTCAGCCAGTCCCGGAAGGGGAAGAAGCCCCTCAGTGGCCCCAAGGCTTCTGCACTGCCTCCCAGACACCCCACCAAGAGGAAGGCCCTGGAGGAGCCCCGGGCTGCCCCGCCCACAGCCCTGACACCGAGGGGCACCCAGAGCCCAGGTACCAGAGGAGAAGCCTGCCAGGGTCATGCCCCCACCCTCCCTGTGGTGCGTAGGCCCCCAGCTGGGCCCACTCCTGCCTCTTCTGCCCAAGGCCAGGATCCCAGGGCTTGGGGTTTCCACAGGGGGCCCCCAGGGATGCCGGGAGACCCAGCACCTGCCCTACCCAGTGCTCCCCAGCCAGCTGACCCCAGTACCCCTTTGCAGGTGCCCAGCAGAAGGTCAAGCCCCCCAAGAAGCCAGAGGGCAACTTGGAGCCACAGCGCCTCCCCCTGGGGAACGGTGAGTGAGACCCAGGGTTTCAGGTCTCAGGAGCTGCCATGCAGGGGTCTGTCCTATCCTGGGCCTCACTGGCCTCTGTGGCACTCCCAGACCTGGGAAGAGGGGCTGCCTGGTTCTACCTGCTGCCCTCCCCACACGTCCCTGCTCTGACCCCCCAACCCCACAGGTGCTCCCATCCTCCTAGGGTCCAGGCCCTGTGCCCTCTTGCTCTTTCCATCCTCCCCCTTCCCTGGGGCTCCTGACCGAGACCTGTGCTCCCTAGTGCTCCCCAGTGCAGGGAACTCTGGGCCCAGGTTATTGGGGCATGCCCCTCTGGCCTCACCTGTGGGCTGACTTTCGGGGTGGGGCAGGAGAGAGGATCCCATGGCCCAGCCCTGCCCACACCTGCCGGTTCCACTTGGCTGCCTGCTGTGGAGGAGGAGCCAGGAGCCCTCTTCCTAGCCAGTGACCCCATCCCTCCTCCAGGGATGCAGACCATGTCAGCTTCTGTCCAGAGGGCGGTGGCTGTGTCCTCAGGGGATGTGCCTGGAGCCCGTGGAGCTGTGGAGGGCATCCTCATCCAGAAGGTGTTTGAGTCAGGTGGGCGCACAGGGTGGGGACCGCTGCCCCGGGCGGAAGCAGGACCCTGTCCTTGGTTGGCTCCCTGGTGGCCCCAGGGCAGGCGGGGTCCCACGGGGGCAGCAGTGTCGTGCATGCTCTGTGACTGCAGCTGCAGGAGAGAGGGCGGACAGTGGTCTAGGCGCTCGTCCTGGCCTGGGGCTTCCACCCCTCAAGGACCGACCTGCTGGTCACCGGTCACTGCCTGAGGGAGTCCTGGCAGTGTGTCTTCAGGCCGCACTCCCCCACACCCTCTCCTCCCTCCCCATGCGCCTCCTATCTGATTCCCCGAACTCTGGCCTTGGGAGGCGACCCTGTTGGCCACACACAGTCACCAGCCTCTCCGACGGGACACAGCAGGTCCTCTGGTGGCCCGGACACCACCGCACCCCTCTGTGCTGGCCCCGGGCTGGGAAAGCAAAGTACAGCCCAGAGGGGCATAGGATCCAATGTCAGCCCAGGGTCCCTAGGCACACAGGTGGCCCCGAGGACCCTGCGTGGGTGTTTGGGGGCTGCCACAACAGCTGTCACAGACAGCGGTGAACCACAGATTCCCAAAGCCAGGTGTGGGCAGGACCACCTCCCTCCCTCCTCCTGCTTCTCCTGGTCCTGTGCCGCCGCCCCAAATTCTGTGCCACAGCTGTGTGGCTGGGCCTCTGCCTGGCTCCAGGTGGCTGTCCCCTGTCTTCTCCTCTTCTCTGAGGACGCCAGTCATGAGACGCAGGGTCCAGTATGGCTTCATCTGAACCAGTTACACCGGCACAGACCCTATTTCCAAATAATTCCTGCACTGAGGCTCTGAGGCCAGGGATTGGGGACCCCCCCATACTGGGCCCACCCTTGGTGGTTAGGAAATGCGAATTATCTCTGCCTGATGGCCCCACTGCCGCTGGCAGGGCTGTAGGAGCGGGGAGAGCCCAGGATGTACCCTGACATCTCCTCCCAGGGGGCTCCAAGAAGTGCATCCAGGTGGGGGGCGAGTTTTATTCCCCCAGCAAGTTTGAAGACCCTGGCGGCAAGAACAAGACCCGCAGCAGTGGCGGGGGCCTGAAGGCCCTGGTCCGGGCCAAGGGAGCCCAGGGCTCTGTCCCTGTAAGTGCTGCCCCGACCCCCACCCCGAGGCTCCCCTCACGGCCCAGGTTGCTGACTTGATCCTCCTCCCAGGGTGGAGGAGAGCCCCGGGTCGGCCAGCAGGCTAAGGCCCCCATCAATCCGGCGCTGACCAGTGAGCCCCAGCTGCACCAGGTAACGCCCGGCACCGCGCAGCCAGGCACCCCTGGCCCTGGTCCTGGGCACTGGGTGGCTGCACAGCCATCTGCACTCCTGCCCCTCCCCTCACTCTCTTCCTGCCCGGCAATTGTTTTTTTTTTCTGATAAAGCACAATTGTAAAATTTCAAGTAACATGAACAAAGTGAGGGTTTCCCTGGATTCCAGACCACAGAATTCAGTCCAGATTGTACTGAGCACCTCTCCGGGGCTGGGGCGTGGGGTTCCTGGGGACGGCGAGCTTGTCCTGCTCAACACTGTCTTTAGATGAGGTGGAACTGCTATGGCTGGCCAGGGGTCAGAGAAGGGAAGGGGTCGGGGTCAGGGGTCAGGGAAGATGCCATGGGGGCTGTGGTTGTGGGGTGGGGCCAGCCCAACCCGGCAGCCTGGGGACCCCCGAGAGCATGGCGGGTACCATCTGGGGAGAGGTGCGGAGAGGGTGGAGGCCTCAGGGAGGGGACAGCAGGTGCCTGGGGCTGATAGGAGAGGCCCTGAAGCCTGCACTCCCCTGGGGTTGGTGGGGCAGCCGTGTCAGGATGGAGGGCAGGCCAGGCCTGGCCTGCAGGGGGCGCTCCTGAGTCTGCATGGGCTCCTGTCTCCCGGTCAGAAGAACGAGGATGAGTGTACGGTGTGCCGGGACGGTGGGGAGCTGATCTGCTGCGACGGCTGTCCCCGGGCCTTCCACCTGGCGTGCCTGTCCCCACCCCTGCGGGAGGTCCCCAGGTGAGAGCCCCGCCACCTGAACCGCGGATCCTGGCTGGAAGGGGCCCAGGAGGCACTGGGTGGCTCAGAGCCCTGGCTGTGGGGTGGGCCTGGGTTCTCCCCACACCCCTCGGGCACCTCCCTCCCCAGCACCCCACACTTCAGATGGCTCCGAACGGAGGCCTTGGAGGCACACCCCACCAGGGGTAGACACCCCCACCCTGGGCTCTCCTCCGCATGGGCCTGGGGGCCCAGCTCACTTCCTGCCTGGCCTCAGTTTCCCCATCTGTGAAGGAAATGGTGAGGTGGAGGAGCCCCAGTCTCCCCAGCTTTGTGGGTTTGGGTCTATGGTCTCCTTTGCCCTGCATGCCTGTGACCGGTGACGAGAGCAGTGGCACCTGGAGGTGTTCGCGCTGCCTGCAGGGGAGAGGCCAGCAAGGCCTGGCCAGGGCCCAGGACCTGCGACCCCCAGAACCTCCCACAGAGCCCCTGGTATGTGGCTTGCCCCCTGCTCACCTTCCTGTCCTCCTCTCCAGGGCCTCCTCCCCGCCCCTTCCTCCTGAGGAGCCTTCCCTTGGGCCCAGCCTGCGGCCTCCTGCAGGCCTCCCCACCTCCCCGCCCTGGCACAGCAACATGCTGTGACCACTGCTGGCCTCTGGGTGTCTGTGCTTGCAACACGCGCCCTGCTCACTGCCCAGTGTTCACCTTGAGAGCCCCGAGGCCACGGCCCACTCAGATGCAGCAAGGGGCACTCGGCCTGGTCCTGCACCCTGCCCTTTCCTGCTGCACCCCTGGTGTGTCGTCACTGCCCTGCACCTGCCCTCCCCATGTCCCTGCTCCATGTCCCTGAATCCCGGGCCCTGGGCTGGGCCAGGCAGCAGCCTTGTGGCCCTCTGAGGGCGACTCTGGGTTCCAGGTCCCCCAGGGGCCTCGGGCCTCCAGCGAGGATGTGCGGGCACTGCCCAGGGAGCCTCCGTCAGATCCTGCTCTCTCCTTCTTGCACCTGCTGGCCCCGCCTCCCGCAGGCCCCCTGCCCGTGCTGGACCCCATGGCCCTGCGCCCCCTGCTGAGCTCCATCCCTGAGGGGCAGCAGGTGAGGGCAGGGCGCTGTCTCAGGAGCTCAGGCCCCCAGGTGGGGGGATAAACTGGAATCACAGACTGCTGGGGAGGAGGGGGTGAGCCAGATGGGGTGGGGGGTGGCAGAGCACGGGAAGTGTGTGTGTGTGTGTGTGTGTGTGTGTGTGTGTGTGTGGGAGCTTCTGTGTGCATGTGTGTGGCCAGAGTGGGGATTCCTGGATGGCGTCCCCCAGGCCAACATTCTCCCACGGCTCTGAAATCCCCACCCCAGCTCCAGCTTGGGTTTCACCCCAACCCCGAGGCAGGACGGTAAAGCTGGGAAGGGTCCAGCCCGGCCAGAACTCGCCTGCCTCGTCCTCCCTTCCAGCCCCTCCTGCCTCCTCTGGGGCAACACAATCCGGGACTTGTGCTCCTGGCCTGAGGCTTTCCTTGGGCGCCCGACCGACCGGGTCTCGATCTGCGGCCTGCTAGCGCTGCTCCGGGGGACCCCGGGGGGAGGAAAGAGCTAAGGGCGCGGGTTTGGTGCCCCCCACCCCGTCCGCGCTCCGGGTCACCTCTGCTGTGCCCCACAGGGCCCTGCGCCTAGCGCGAGGTGCGGAGT